GAGAAATTGCATCTCGAGGTTCCTTTGAGTTGGAACATACTTTGTACATGCATCCATGTATGCACGGAGAACACGATACATATTACCATTCATTCTGTCCATTGTATTCCAGGGGTGGTGCGCAGACCTTTCAAAGCGGCAAGCTATCTCAAAATCCTCAAAACAATAAACACAACATTATATGCATGCCAGCAACACCACCTCTAGGTAAATGCGATAATGCTGTCTTTCTGTAATTATGGCGAGAACTGACCTTCTAATGCTTCACGGAATAGCGAGCTTTAGGCTCAGTAAGCTTTTAACTACCATCAGATAAAGAAATACGCGAACAAGGGATACATTATGTTACATCCTGGTCCCCACACAGTACTAACCGCACAGCTACGTGTGTGTGTGTGTGTGAAACAAACTGAAATTGAGGACGTCTACTCACACATGTGCTTATGACTTATGAATAACTTTGTGTCAGAGAATGTGTCACTTCCTATTACAGTATGCGTGTGTTAGTGTGTGAGAGTGTGTGTGCCCTGACATCCTCAGCCTCTTGGCCGTGTCCTGTGACTCTCTGACAGTATTTGGCAAGGCACTAATTGACGAGGAGCCTCCACCTCGTCGTGTTTTGTCAGAACACGAAGGCCTCGCCGCTGGATCAACAAATTCTGGAGCTTCAAATTCTGCCATATGTCCAGCCATGTGTTCCCTTCTACCAGCTGGGAGCACTCAGCTCTGTGCCTGTCTAACTAACTGACAGTGTGACTGGGACTGTGCAACCCCAGACTAGGACCAGTACTTAGATGAACCTGGAATGGTGAAACGTTAGTGCTGGTTTTGTCTGTCAGCAAACTGTTTAATTTGAGTCAGCTGATGAGCAAATTGTCTATTGCTGTTATAAAGATTTAAATCTTTTGCATGAGATATTGCAAAAGCACTTGTGCCTCATCTCTAATACCCATGTTATTTTCTGAGTTTGACTTGAAAGCTTGAGAGATCAAATGATCTGAAAAACTGCCCATTTTACATTTCAGGCACCTGGTAAAACTGTCAACAAGAAGATCACAATACAGTTGCTGCTGTCACAGAGTTAATGTGGCTATAAAACAGTAATGCGCAGATCTACCTTGATCGCAAAACCAAATTAGATGGTGTGCGGCAAAAACCAACAGTTCTGTGGATTTGTGAAAGCGATACTGTACATTAAAAAACAAAAATAGGAGTCTACAGCCACACTGTGATGCTGTACCTAGCATCAGAAGCACTTACAGTAATGTAAGGAGCTGTCATCTACTCGAGTAACGCTACCTTTGTGTCTCCTCTGTACCGTGTGTATGTGGAGGGCTATACCAGCCCGCCTTCGGTGAAACACAGTAAGAACAGACGGACCAGACAAGGTGAAAAGAGAACCGTAATCGACAGCGAAGACCAAGCGGCTACCACCGTGGCTGGCAAATAAAACCAACATGGAAGTAACAAAAACTGCAGTTCCTCGAAGGCCACTTAAGGCTACAGAAGTGATCAGTCTCCATAAGACCTCATATTAAAAAATGCACAACTTTACGGCAGAAATAAACATGATTACAGCCTGGTACAAAAAATGGTTTTGGTCTCTATAGCTAAGACTATAGACTAACCCAACTGTCAAAACAACACTGCCATCCCTAGAGAGCCATGTTGCTAGAGTGGCTAAAAATCTTTTTTCCATCAGTTGTGCGTGTCTACATGGCTAACAAAAACAGCTTCAAAAGCCTGAGTGATGGAATTTGGCCAACCATGATGGATCAGGTAGTGAAAACACATTTTAAAATATATGAAATATTTGCTCTACTAAGAAATTTTAAAGAATACTGAGCCATTTGTAATGATTATAAGATCAATAAAGTTTTAAGTTTAAAGGCATGCTGAAAGGAGAGATTAGCCTAGTTCAACTCAATTACTTGGTGGTTATAGGATAATTTCTTCTGTAGCTCCTCACATATTTCCCACCGTAGGGAAACTTCACACGCTTTTCCACATATTGATGGATGGTCTAATTAAATATGTGTGAATTTCAATCATTCATATAGTTGCTAATTTCACAGTTAACATCCAATCCTGTTCACTTGCTTCACTTACAGCAGAAACAGAGGCTCCAAATGATAATGCATTTTGTTACTACCACTTACAACGAGGCTAACGAGAACAAATATGAAAGGTTTTAAAGCAAGCTAAGTTTTCAGATTTGTACTGATTTCAGTTGCCAAATTTTAATGTTTAACCCACAACAGTTAATAATGACAGGGTGACCACAAACTACTGTGATTTCTACTTACATTAACCAGGAAACTTTTGCTATTTTCTGTCTGCATTTACAACAACCCCATCTTTAGTATGAGAGTAATGAGATGGCAAAACATTTACATTTAATATTTTCCAACATTTACCAAAAAATATAATCCTCTAAACTCATTATAAGCTCACACAACAGTGTTCCCAAGTATTTATTTCTGGTTTGTGGGGTACATAGGAAAATACGTGGGCTCTCTTACCTGGTTTGGAGACCGAAACTCTTGGTTATTGTCATTCATGTACATGTTGTCACCATCAAACTGTGGATAGAAACAGAAAGGAGAAATAAATCATGGTGTGGAAGAGGAGGTGTGATGAAAAAAAAAAATTGGGGCCCCGGGAGGAGGTGCGAAGAGGAAAAGCTCTTTACGGGTGGCCTGAAGTGTGAGACTAATGACTTTGTCACTTTGGTTAAACCTCGTGGTGGCATGGCAGCGTGGGTAATTACTGTTCGTCAGCGGGCCGTAATTAGGCTACATGAGCACAGTGACGAGAGATGGGCTTTTCCCTGTGGGCTCTGCTGTGTGTATGAGACAGAGAATGAGTGTGAATGAATCTGTGAATGCATACAGTAGTAAAGGGTGTGTGTGTCTGTCTTTGTGGCTGTGGATCCATTGTGTGTGTGTGCGTGTGTGTGTGTGTGTGCCTGTGCTGTAAAGTGAGGGCATGCTGTGTCTTCACCATTAAGTTAATCGGGCATCAGAAGATCTCTTGCTGCAGGTGCCAAAGCACTGTTTGACACCGGGTTAGAACTCACATAACAACAAACGACCCTTGACCCCCAAGGGTGCTGGGAAACAACCAGCTCACTAGTTGAGCACTAGGCCTACATGCAACATGCTAGTAGTCATGTCTAGTGTGTTGGTGAGCTAAATCCCTGAAGAATTCCCCACTGAGATCAGCTTTGAGTAGACTACAAATAAAGAAAAAAACAACACAGATTCTGTTTTTAGCTCCAGAGAAAATGAGATTCTGCCCCACAAACGGCTCAGTAACTGAACCTGTGCGGTGTCAAGGTGACTGAGAAACTGCTACTACGTTATGAAGAGCTGTATTGTGAAATGCCCTTGGCTTCCAAAGGCATAAAGCTTTGTCATACCAGTCTTGCAGCAAATAGAACAAACCTTGACTGGACTGGATAATAACACATGCACACAGACACCCAACGTGTCAAATAAAGCCTCCTTTTTTGTTTGTTTGACAGAGGTCATCCTTTGTGATATCAATGCAGAGAAGACTCGAGAACAGACAGCAGAGACAACATGATCAAACTAGACAACATTCCATGTCAAATTCCTCAGATGTGAAGATACGGGGGGCCCTTTTCATTTGCGGTGGTCTGCTTAGTGCCTATGGAGCAAGCCTTGAATGATAAACACACGCTGGATATGAGTGAACACAAATGGATCATAAGATATACCTGCTCAAAAACAATGCCCAACTAGGTAGACTAATGGACGGAAATGGGAAGAATTCCTGGGGGTGAAATCTAATATCTACACTGGTAGACAGGAAAAAGTCGAAGCAGCTAAATGAGCATGTGAGTGGTGAGAAAGAGAAATTACTGTACATTATTGCAGGAGAAAGGCCGGGGGAATGAGCGCCTGCCTCAGGGCAATGGTTGGTTAACGATGCATATCATGGAAGCCCTTGTGAGGATTCACTTGGTTATTCTAATGATTACATTTACATTCAGCCACAGACGCAAACATGAAACTGAGACAAGCACTTGCATTCAAGCTTCATTCGCACCACCAGCAGTAAAAACTGCATGTTTATTTCAAGTGAAATGGACTGCTGACTAATTGTTTAACGCTACATATTGGAGTTACACACAATAATTTGCTTAATGAAGCACGGTGGCGTCTATCACTTAACAGTGAGAAGTGACTCACTGAGAGGGGCAAAGTGATGTTGACCTTTGTGACATATGTGCAATAAACTTGCTTCTCACATAAAAACCTCTTGTCCTCACCTAACTGAGCAATTTCTTTCCAGTGAAAGCCACTTTGATATCACTGGTGACGTAAAGCCATTTTAAGAATTTCTTTCTCTCCTTTGAAAAGAGAGTACAGTCGCTGAATAACGCCTTCTTTTACCATAAAATGCTGCCAGATCTTGTATTTCAGTTTGTTTTGTAATCTGAATTCTTTGAATGCCGAGCCTTATTCCAGTTTCTTACAGCTCTAAATGAAGCAATGAAGGCAAACAGTGCTCATTTTCACCAATTACATCTGTAATATAATATTCACCAAAAAGGCCAAAGACAGCCTAGAAAGGTCAGCCATTTTGTGCTTCAACATGGCTGCCCATATATTGCAATGTAAAGCTGTTTCCCCCTGCTCTTCACTTGATAGCTCTCCTTTGCACTGCCTCGCTCTCCCACTTAAAATGCCAATTTATCCTCGGCTCAATGCTATCAGCTCTGCCATTACTCCACATTTACTGCAGAAACCATCTTCTCTTTCTCTGTTGTTCCCTTTCTCTTTCTCTTTCATTTTCTCCCTCTCACTCTTTCCTCTCACTCTCTCCATCTTTCTCTCTCCACTCCCCCTCATGTTTCACTGTTTCTTCCTCTTTTCTATTTCCCCTCCTTGCTGCTTTCTCTCTCCTCTGTTCCCTTTCCCATGTTCTCATCGTCCCCACCTCTCTCCGTGTTACAACCTCCCTCTACTTCTCCATCTCCCTCCCCACCCCTGTTTCCCCCTCTTTCTTCAGTGGGCCTTGGCATCGCTTTCTCATCGGCAGTCTAATTGGGCATTCTGCCTGAGACAAGGGCCTCATTAAGCAGTAATTACACACATGTTGTTTTCGGCAAACATCTCTATTTGGATTGCTTTGCATGGTAATTGTTCAGCAGGGACCACTGCTCGCGATGTTTCCCTCCGTGACACACGTGGTGCTGGGAGAGAGGAATAAAAACATGGAGAAAAGGGATAGAGAGGCAGGGAGGGGTAGAGAGAGAGAGAGAGGTGGATGTGAGAATAGAGGAAAATAATAATAGGTTGTGGAGGGGATACAAATTGAGAAATAAAGAATGCATAAATGAGAGAAAGAGGATGAGAGTAAGAGAGAGGCAGAAAAGAGAAAGACTAAAAGGATGAAGGCGATGCTGAGGCAGTAAATGGAGAAAGACAATGAATAAATGACAAAGAGAGGTAGAGATAGACAGATTCGGTGTGTGAGAGGAAAATGAGGTGGAGAGGTAGAGGGAGAATGAAAAAGATGCAGAGAATGAGTAAATGAGGAAGAAAAGTGAGAAAGTAAAGACAGTGAGAGAGAGAGAGACACAAAGAGTGAGTCCCAGAACTAGGTCATGCCTTGCAATCATCGACAAAGCTGAGCGTTTCAAAAATAATGAAGCCACAAGGTGGAAGTAATGCTAACTAGCATATCCAGGGAAAACATGTAATATTTACACAGTGCTAATGGTGCAATACAATGCGGGGATCTTTTTATCTTGGAGTGCACTGGTGAGACAGTTGATGGCAGGATTGGAGGCAAAATTACAGACTCCACTGAAGATTGCTTTTGATTGATGGACAATTCGTATAAGCTCCTCATAAAGCCTTCTAGGCAACATCTGTTTGTGAAGTGGGTGGGGCGGAGATAAACTGCTAGTGTGCCTGGGTAATGCCATGACTGTCCAATCACCAGAGAGAAAACTGACCTCTTAATAATGAAAAAAAATACTTCATTTTGAAAGCTAGGAAACCAATTATCTGGGAAGCAAAATAATATAATATTTGCCATAACTGGATCTAATGAGTTGAAATACACAAATACCACAGTAACCTGTTTTTATGTATCTCTTAATATTATAAGTAAACTATAGTTCAGGTTTATTTATATAACATTATTTAAATAACATTATTAAATCTTAAATGGCTTTACGAGTGTACATTTGAAAGTACATTTGCTTAAGTGCTCTGCTTACGTCAAAGTGCTTTGAGTATTTCCATTTTATGCTACATTATTCTTCTTTCCCACTACATTTCAGAGGTAAATATTGCACTTTGTACTCAACAACATTCATTTACCAGCTTTATTTACTGGTTAATTCACTGAAGATTAAGATTTTACATACAAAACATATGCTCAGCTTGTAAAATATGATTTGTTGTTATAGATTAAACTACTCAAAAGTATTGCTTGCTCGCCTCAACCAAGCGTGCAGGCCATTTCTGCCTATACCTACTCCTAAATGTTACATGTTACATAAATGTTGTTAATATTAATAATCTATTTATATAAAGGATACACACTCTGAAAGGGTCAATTCTCTTACTTGAGACCATTTTTGTACAGTATTTTTACATTGTGATGTTCTACTTTTACTCAAGTACATTATTATATCTTCCACCACTGGGCTTTCCTACTACATAATATACCATATTACAGTCCGTGTAGTATGGTATATGTTATGACAAGATGTAGCAGAGTAAAAAAGAAATTTACTTCTACCCTATCAGCATTCAAGCAGACCATTGCAACATCTGTAAAAGAAAAAAAAAAACATACAGTATTACACTAAAGAACAACAAACTTTCAGAACTTTTCAATTTATAAAAGGGAATCTATAAGCAGAGTGTGTAATACTTGTGACTTTAAAAGCCTTTGCCAGTACACCAAGTCTCTAAAAATAATTCTCTCACCGAGCGGAATTAATAAGCCCAGAACAGTACACAGCCATTCTGTGAAGAAAGGGTGTGGTGGTGGTGCTGGTGCTGGTGGGGGG